TTTATGTTCTTATGTGCTGCTGTGTGAGCCAGTCTATTCTGATTCCTCCTATGACTTGCGAATTCCTGAGGGTTTATGAATTGATTTTTTTTTATCGCTTGGAGCGCACGAAAGGGAATCCCTATAATGTTCAAAGAACATCGTGCGTTCCTAGGGAGGATAGGGACAAGAGGTAGGTATTGGAATTTTTTTTGAACTTTTGAAGATTATATGTTGTTGGGAATACTTCCACAGGCAATGAATTCCACAGCCTAGCCGTTCTATGGATGAAGGAGTCTTGATAAAGTGCTGTTCGACATCTTTCGAGGTTGACAACGAAAGGATGTGCTGACTGGGCTTGTCTTGTTCGTCTGATTGGTATTGCTAGTGGAGGGATGATAGCAGAGATTTCCGAAGAACATTTCCCGTGGAAGTATCGATAGAAAAGTGAAAGGTCGCCGACCTTTCTACGGTGTTCCAATGATGTCAAAGAGTGAATGAGTGTGGCGTCACCCACCAGGCGAATGGCTCTTCTCTGGATGGAATCTAAGAGCATCAGCGTATGTTTTGGTGCTGAACCCCATATGTGGGAACAGTATTCTAGAACAGGCCGTATCTGCGCTTTGTAGATCATGAGAAGCTGTTGAGGTGTGAAGTAGCTTTTCGCACGGAACAAGAATCCAAGTTTTTGTGAAGCAGCTTTTGCGATGGATCTGACATGATTATACCATGAAAGATTGTTGCTGATGGAAATACCGAGCATAGATATGGTGGGCTTGGTGGGGATGGTGGAGCCAGACATTACAATATCGGGCATACTGAGTTCCGCCTTTCTAGAGAAAATGCAGGCTCGAGTTTTGGTGGCGTTGAATTCAACTAGGTTGTTTGTTCCCCAGGCTGTGATTTCAGCAAGATCTTCATTGACAGCATTGACCTGCCTGCGGCGTGAGTTCTTAGTTTCCTGGGAAGAAATGGGAATTCTGGAAGAGAACGCAGTATGGAGGGTACTATCATCTGCAAAGCTGTGGATGGGGCAAGTTGTTACTCCCAACAGATCATTGATATGAAGCAGGAATAATGTTGGTGCCAAAATTGATCCTTGTGGAACGCCGGAATTGATGCCAATGGTATCAGACGATACACCATCCACCACCACGTGAAGCGATCTGCCTGAAAGAAAACTCGATAAGAGATGGCATAGCTGAGGTGGTAAGCCGTATGATGGTAGTTTGTGGAGGAGTCCTTCGTGCCAAACACGGTCGAATGCTTTCGATATGTCCAACGCGACAGCTAGAGATTCCCCGTGTTTTTCTATTGAAGATTGCCATAAATGGGTGACGTAGGCAAGTAGATCTCCAGTAGATCTTCGGTGGCGAAAGCCGTATTGTCTATCATTGATGATTCCTGAGCTCTCCAGATATTTGATGAGCTCAATGTTGATGGCTTTCTCCATCACTTTGGAGATTACTGATAACAGGGCAATGGGCCTGTAGTTGTTGGGCAGGTTCTTGTTCCCTTTTTTGGGGATTGGTTGGACTCTAGCTGTCTTCCAGCATGATGGAAAAATACCCGACCTGTACGAGATGGTAAACAACTTGCAGAGGATCGGTGTTAATTCTGGTGCACATTTTTTGAGGATAATGGGTGGAATTCCATCAGGACCGTTAGCCTTATTCGTTTTGAGATCAAGCAAAATTCGTCTGATAGTGCGTTGACGGAAGACGATTTCGGGCATTCGACTCTCAACGGGTGGAATGTCTGGCGGCAGTTTTCCTTGGGAATCTAAAGTAGAGTTTGCTGCGAACATTTCTGTAAAGATATTTGCTTTCTCCTGCGATGTTGTTGCTAATGTGCCGTCGGATTTGGACAGTGGTGGAAATGAACTATTAGTGAAATTTCTTCCGACCGCTTTAGCAAGGGACCAAAACGAACGGGAGCCATTGGGGCAATCTATGAGTTTCGATCTTATCTTGGCATTGTATGTTTCTTTAGAAGCATCTATTGTTTGGCTGCAGTTATTCCTGGCATCAACGTATTCTGCTCTAGTCGCGAGGTTAGGGTTTCTGCGCCAGCGATGGTAGGCTGTTTGTTTCAAGGCAACAGTTCTAGAACAGTTTTTGTTGAACCAGGTTTTCGAAGGTGATGATCTTTTCGAAAAATGAGGTATGTATGTGTCCATTCCGAGCATGATGATCTCGGATATTTCCGCAGCACACTGTGAAGGGTCCTCAGAGTCGAAGCATACTCTATGCCAAGGAAACTCGGAAAAAAACATGCGGAGACCGTCCCAATCTCCTGAATTGTAATGCCATATAAGACGTGGGGGTGCCGGAGCAGTTGATGGAATGTTCAATTGACTTAATGCAAGAGATTATTTCTAGGAAAATAGTTCCAAGGCCTTGCAAATGTCATAGTGCACGCCACAAAGCAAATCTTCGATGATACACGGATGATCAGAGAATCAGACTAACGCGTCCGCCATTTTATAAACGTCATCTTGAATTTCCAAATGTCGACCATTGTATTGCTCGACCTCAAAAACCACTAGTTTTGAATTATCCATATTCAATTTTCGACTCAGTACTAAAATATCTTGTTCATGGATATCGAAAATTCTTTGATACAAAATTTCAGACGTACCAGATGATAAACGAGAAACTTGTCCGCCATTTTGCAGGCACCGTCTTGAATTTTATTTCAACAAAAGTGCCAAACGGTATTGCCACCGAAACTATAAACACACGGCTCAATGTCAACCCGATAGGTCAACGGAGAACAGGGTTAAAATTCGACTAGGTTTGAAGGCCCAACAACAATATACCGGCCATGAAGCTGAGATAGTCCTCAATTCATCGTGCATATGGTTTTACAATGAAATTTCATTGCACAATCAATGAGAGATTGATAAATTCCAAAGAGCTCAACATATTATTGCTAGGCTCACCGGTTTGAAATCGACCAGAAAATGGAGATATAGGTGATCTTAACCTTTTCCATTTGAACAATCTAAGAACATTTTGAAAACAGTTATTCGTGGTATCTCTCATTTGCTGGAAGAAGTTGATTACTAATAAAGATAAATTCTGATATTTTGCAATAAGTATCTATAATTGTTCAGTTTCCTTATATTACAAAATATGAATCATAACTTGTCAGACATTTTTTTTTCAAATGAATTCATTCTTTTATAAAATGTATTATAATACTTTCGAGTCCGTCCACACCACACAAAATACTGACAGGCACACCGAGAGCTGATCTGATTTTGTGGTTATGTTTGTTTTTGTTCACCAGTTTTACTTTCCAATTATTCGTTAGCCCATGTCTACAGTTTATAGTTGTTTTGTTAGTTAGTTGATCTTCGTTATTTTTCTCGATACAATCAACAACGATGACAAGGTGTCTTCTTATTTTATTCGTGTTTTATTCGTTAGCTATTCCCTAGCAATATTCTTCATTATCAGCTATACACAGACTAGATTCAGAATGTACGTCACAGCCGCCCTGAAAATTAGAAATTGCTTCCGCCAACTTAAAATGCCCGTTCTTCACTACCATATTCCTGGTTTAACGTCCAAATGCAGGAGATTCTTCCCGTGCAAGGCCTTGCAGATGTCGTTGAGCACGCCCCAAAGCAAATCATCGGAAATATGATTGTTCAGCACGGAGATTTAAAGAATAAGACTAACTTGTCTTGAAAGCGTCATCTTGAATCACCAAATTTTGACCAGAAAATCGTATTGCTCGACATCGAAAACTCCCAAATAATTATTATCCATATTCAATTTTCGACTCAATACTGAATAATCGTATTCCTGTACATCAAGACAAATCTGATGATAAACGAAAAACTTGTCCACCATATTGGAAGCGCCATCTTGGAGGCACGTCTGGAATTTTCTAGCAACAAAAGTGCCAAATGGCATTGCCACCAGAACTATATACACTAGATCAATTCCAACCCCATTGGTCAACGGAAAGTGGGTGAGAATTCTACTAAAATAATTGAAGGCCCAACAACAACATGCCGAACAAGAAGCTGAGAAGTCCTCAATTCATCGTGTATATTTTTTTCTAAACGTGAAATCCCATTGCACAATCAAAATGAGATTGATGGATTCCAAAGAGCTCAACATTATCGCTATACTCACCAAATCGACCGTTTCCGTTTGAACAATCTGAGAACCATTTGAAAACAGTTCTTATTCGTGGTACTGATACAAAACAGTATTGTCCGCCGCTGTTGGCGGCAGATTCCCAAAGGATTTGCCGACACGGGGCCGGTTATCATTTGTTTTTTTCGCTGTCTCAAGCAGGGACTATACCGAACATGAACCGTTCAACCCGCGAGGGACCGCTCGGGGTAAAAAATACCCCACGATATCAATTTACGGTTTTTTTGCTTAATTTGCACGGCACTGAAAAATCACGCCAGCTTAGTGGCTAAATATGATCAATTAACAAGTCTTTGCATGTGTTTCGTCATTACTTCTGCACACATCGTAGTAAACATTTGGTGAATTGTTCCTGGGGTTATAGCCTTACCCCACACGGGAGAGTATTGAAATCTTCTATATCTGAATTCGTGTTTGTACAAATGGAAATTCAACCTCAAAACGAGCAGCCTGCAATGGTAGTCAAATTTTCATATTATCCAGGAGAAAAAAAAAGAGAAACAATTTAAAAAAGGGGCGTGCGTATATTATTTATGCGTTCATTGAAATTCATTATTCAATTCTAGTATATCAATCAAATTATTATTGCTGTTTGTTTGTTTTATTATTGTTATAAATAATGCAATTCCACATGGGACAAAGGTTTTTTTCGTCTCAAAGTCCTTGAATTCAATCAAAACCAATGGGGTAGATTACTACCCCACGCGGTCCACGTTTAAGTTTCTATCGGCGCGGTCCCTCGCGGGTTAAAAATTGAGAAAGACCTCAATTCATTGCGTTTATTTTTTTTTCTGAATGAAATTCCTCTGCACGATTGAAATGAAATAGTAAATTCCATAGACTCACCAGTTTCAAATCGACCAGAATCCCGAAGTCCGCCAACTTGAAATGTCCGTTCTTCATCATGATATTCCCCGGTTTGACGTCCAAATGCAGCAGATTCTTCCCGTGCAGATAGTGCAAAGCCTTGCAGATGTCGTAGAGCACGCCCCAGAGCAGGTCCTCGGGAATGTCGTTGTTCAGCACGGAGAAGTCCGAGAGGCTGAGCTGGCAGTACTCTAGCAGCATGTACACTTCATAGCCCTCCTCCCAGGCCATGAAGAATCTAACGCAGTTGGGATGGACGCCGACTTTTTCGTTGTTGCGAATCTATGGGACGCCGTTGTGCTTTTTATTGAATTATTTGAATGAACCTCATTTTGAATACTCCACAATTTATGCGTTAGATATTACCCAAGTGAATAACTCGAAAGATATTACTGAATTGATGCCGGTAAGTAATTGTAACGCAACAGAATTAGAATTAATAACTCGTTTTATGAATAAAAATTCTCTGAACTGCCGAGGATTCGAACCCAGCAACCTTTCGATGTTCTGGTTACTAGTCGAGCGCCTTAACCACTGCGATATTCCGATATGACTGTATGTTCATGCAGCAGAATTTATGACATCCTTGTTTGAGAAATGGACTGAATGACCCTAATAAATATTTCAATTACTTTCATACTTTCGTACAACGTGCCGTCCATTTGATGACCTTCTCCAGATATAAAGAAATTATATACGACAACAGAACCCTTACCTCCTGCAAATTTTTTCGCATTACTATGAACATCAAATTCTGTTGAGAATTTCATATTTTGCGATTCGCATAAATTTTGCGGAATTCGTACAAGCGTGAACATGCCTTAACACAGGAGCTCCTCGAAGGTAAGAAAAATAGGCGAAAACGCGTTTTTTTTTTTGTTAGAGCTTGAAGCCACTGTGCTTCACCGAGCTACACCATCTACCTTCCCCTACCCCTTTGTCACCATCAAATGACAAGCTATTTTGGGTTATGTTCAATGATTATTTTCTATTTCCATGTATCAAGATCACAATAGGCGAATGGACTTTCTTTTTTATCAAATAGAATAGAATCATCATTTAAATACCTCTCAATTTCATATTTTTTAAGAATTTTTCGGTCGATTTTTAGGTGCTAAAATCATCAATAATGCCACGGTAATTTTCAAACGGCTAGAAATTTACCGATCAGTAAAAACTGACTCCACCATTTTGTAAGTAGGGGCCATGTGTTGAAATATGATCGGGATCTTCAGAAATATAAGTTATTCAATAATTCATACATTCACACTCAAGTATTGGCAATATTCCTAATTAGCAATAAAAATTCAGTTGTCTCAAAATGTTCCCTCATGATTTGTGGTTTACTGCTTATAATAAATTTGTCTAAATAATAATTATATTAAGTCACACCATCTCCTCGCCAAACAGGGAACCGAATCTGTGTTCATAGGACCAGAACCATATTTTGGGGTCACCGCAAGTGCGGCGAAAACAACTATCTCGGGCTGGGCGGAGGGAAAAACACTCACGTACTGGTCTGAATTACCAGGATTAACCCATTCGAAGGCGTTCCTGCCTAAACCATCGGAAAAAATAACCAGGCAGATCCTAGAATGGAGCAGGGGTAACCTGCGAATTCTGACTGGACTGCTTACGGGACACTGTCGTCTAAGATACCACCTGGGAAGGATGGGTCTGAACCAACAAACGGACTGTCGGTTCTGTTGTGTGGAAGACGAAACGGCTGAACACATATTATGTTCATGCTCTAGCTTAGAAAGACTAAGTTTCGACACATTTGGCTTTACCAATTTAGAACCTATCGATTCCAGACAAATCTCACCCAATTCAACCATGAACTTTGTAAAAAGATGTGGATTGTACGGTGAAATGTAACCTCTAGGGGTGAGCCACAATAGACCCGTCTGGGGTCGTAGTGGAGGGGAGGTATTCGCCCCACTCACATGGAACCTAAGTCACACCAGAGGACATTTGAATCGGAGAACGTGACAACAGCGCGCGAATTGGAGGCGTGATCTTGTCAGTTATCAGCAATCAGCACAATGTTGCCAAGTCTCCAACATTCACATGCTATTTTGTTATGGAGAATAAGAAATATTTTGACATGTTGGTTGCTCGAAAAAGTCAAGAATGAACAATAATATCATGGGTTCCTCGAATTATGTTTTATTCAACAACAGGACATTTCCTTGATAACTTGATTTTAATTGGTGACTTGACCATCTTGCTTCATGAGTGGAAATGGAAGATTATCTGACCAATAACTAAATACGTCACTATTTATTCGACGTATCGTCAAATGGCGGCCATGACGGTTCGTTTGAAATGAGCTCTAAAATTCAACAATTTCGAACAACGCATAACGTGTCTATGTATATACCTGTATATTTACTTGAAAAAGCGTGAGAAATGTTGCAAAAATTAATTCAGGTTCCTAATGAAACAGTGGAGTAATTGAATGCCAATAATTCATTATCACTCCACTCGCCCATTATAACATGTTCGTCTCCAGAATCAGAAATTATCAACATATAAATCGACTATATTTCAATATTTCCAAAAATTAAACTAAGAGCGCATGCATGCGCAATGGCGGTGATTGTGAAGGTTCACTAAAATGCGTTCTATTTGGGAGAAGCTCAAGTGCAACATACACTGGGCTGCTCAGGTGCATGAAACATCAAGAAGATGTCAAAGAATGTCAATTGAACTCTCATTTACAACCCCAACATGTTGTTTACTACTTTGAATTTCTAGGTTATTGTTTTCTTTTGATTCTCTAAGAGAAAATCTGTGTCCTAATTCAAATTTTTGATGCCCTTCCTCAAATTCTATTCTAGCTACCGGCCTGACCCGGTGAACACATTTGTAACATTTACATACTTATGCCGACAGTTTCATGTAACTGTTGTTCCATAACTCAATTCCCTCAAATTGACGTCAATGTACCTACTGTAAATTGCAAATAATAAAACTAACATGATCTTATTTCTCTTGATTTTACAGCAATGTTCCATAGAACAGTGATATCACTTTTACATACCATTCTTGCATATTAATTATATAACACCTTCATAACTATGATTATGTTCATACAATATCTAGAGAATTATGTCAATTTCATAAAAATGCATTGACAACAAATGTATCTTCAACAAAGGGACGTAACAACGACCAATCTAATTGTAGTATTTCTCGAGTTCTCACGAACAAACACGAACGATAGATATTCGATCTGGACTCGCTCAAAGGTCGATAGGGATTTCGTCTCAAATTGGATATAAAATGGCGTCAACGTTGTTATGTTTTGTTGTGTTATTGTTCCTGGACCAGCAAGTTGAGGTAGTGAGAATTGAGCTATCTAAGTTTCCGAAATTTGATTGGAACGTGGAATCCTCTATTTTGGTAAGAATAATATGTTTATATATAAATAGAAAACACGGTCCGCAAGGCACTTAGGCCTCCCTTTTCGGGCCCATTGTGCACCCACATTCCTGGGATCGCAAGTCAGCCATGGAGAAGGCCGATCTCTTTCTAGGCCAAATCTTTTTAACATCCTCTGGGTCCAGGAGACTGCCCCAAAATGGATATCCATTGCTGCCACTACTGCCAGGCATTCAGTGAGGATGAGAGTAGAAGTCTCTTCATCCTCTAGGCACCATCTGCAGTCAGGATCCTCCACAATCCCGATCGTGCTGAGATGTTTGTTCACGTGGCAGTGCCCTGTCAGAAGGCCCACCACCAGTTTCAGCTCCTTCCTGTTCAAAGCCAAGAGGGCATTGGTCTGTCTTCGTGACAGGTTTCCTATATGGAGTTTGGACTGCCTCATTCCAGGAGCCTCTCTCCAGCTGTCTTGAAACCTTTCCGTCAGGATTTCCTTGACCCCCAAGATTGGCTCTGGACCAATCACTGAACCCTTCGCCCCCTTTCTGGCCAGACCATCGGTCATTTCGTTACCTGGTAGCCCTGAGTGCCCAGGGGCCCACAAAAGACATACTTTGTTCGTTGCTGACACCCTTTGTAGGCTATCTATGCACTCTGACACGAAGGCGGAGGTCACCCTATACGAGGTGAACGCCTTGATCGCCGCCTGGCTGTCAGTGCATATAGTGAATTGCTGGCTGTGATAGCCCCTCACGATATTCTCTCGAACACATGCAAGTATTGCAAATACTTCAGCCTGAAAAATCGTGGCATGTTTACCAAGGGTATCGTCATGATTTGTCCTTGGGGAATGCCCATAGACCCCAGCACCTACGCATTCTTCCATCCTGGAGCCATCTGTATACCAGATGATGCCCTTGGTAGGTATTATGCAGTGCCCATTCTGTTCCCAGTCTATCCTAGTAGGAATTTTGACTTAGGGCATTTTCCTAAATCGAATGATCGGCGTAATGCTGTCCCCTTTCATACTGAGTGAGGGGTAGTCATCTGTAATTTGCTTCCAGAGTCGAGAATGTCCGTATGTTCCTTCGCTCCTCCACTGGTTACAGCTTTGTAAGCGAACGGCGGGCTTCATCGCCTCGTATTCTATATACAGGTTCAGAGATGGCGGTCCGGTCAGAGTCTCCAGCGCCCTTGTCGGCGCCGTCCTCATTGCTCCTGTTATGGACTGGCCAGCAAGTCGTTGAACTCTGTCGAGCTGACTCCTCGACTTGCCTGTCAGTGTCTCCGGCCACCATACGATGGCCCCATATGTTATCATTGGACGTATGAGAGCGGTATACATCCAGTGAAGGATACTTGGCTTGAGCCCCCACGTTCCCCCACACGTCCTCCTGCACGCCCAGAACGCCCTCTCAATATGATCGTTCCAATTGAGCCTAGAGTCAAGAATGACTCCTATTATAATTAGCTTTTTGATAGTAGGTAAATTATTGTACTAGGTATATGCAACACTGCATCGCCGTGATCCGGAAGGTCTACTCTCGACTAGCTACCACTCTGAGATAGGCAAACACTATCTACCGCTAACCATGCTAACCGTTACATCAATTTCTGTCTTTGAAATCAATAATTGAACTTTAATGAAAAAATAGCAAGAAATAATGGATCAGATCACAGTTGAGGATTTATTCAGTTTCTTGGATGAAATAAACAACAGGCAAGTCCCATTTCACCTAGCATTTTACATCAACCAAACAGGTTATTGCTTGGAGAAATAGTCAAGTTGGAAGATAGTTGTTGCAAGTATGGTTTGTTAGGTAAAATGAAAAAATTCCTCGATAAATCCCTAATGAGTTCATAAATAGAATGAGTATATGTATGGTGTATAACATAAAAGACATGATTATTGCAGAAGAAAAATATATATATTTTTTCAATGTGTACTTATTTCAATTGATCAATCAAAATTTCAAGATTTTTTGAATGAGGTAAGCTATTTTTGCAAGATACTATGAGGGCTTCTTTCAGATATATCAAACTTTTCTCTATCAAGTCATCAAATGAGCTAATTTTATGTTCTTCGGTCCAATTACTCTGTGTGATCTGAGCTGTTTCTGTATCTTGCTAAAATATTCTGAAGTTGTGACCACCTACTCAATTTCATATCATAGGGAAGTTGTTTTCAATACATTTAACTGTGAACCTGATTGATAAAAATAAATTTTACTTTGTGTCTTTCCAATCCCAACAGCTATCAATTTTCAATTTCTCTGCATATTCTCCAACTTCCTGCTCATAATTGAGAATAAAGTCGGATTTCTCAAAATCAACTATTTTTTATTTATTTATTTATTTTACAGCTAAACATATCTGACGTCTTCCATCAAGATTTGTTCTTAGTGATATATTATGTTTAGAAAGATAACTTGGTAAACTAGGGAAAATAGAAGGAACTGCTGTTTTAACTATTTGTGGGTTTCTTAACAAATTTTTCCCAATTGATCCATCTGGAAGAGGAAACGTATCAAATCTAATAATATCTGTTTCAACGAAATGAATTGCACACACTGCTGAATGTTGAGATGGGGACCAATTTTTAGGAAGTATCCAAGATATCCACTTTTTTCGCAGTTGTTCATCTTTAGGAAATTTAAAAATCGAAATATATTTCTTTTCGGAAGGGTAATTTGACTTATTCGGCATCTTCTTATGAGAATGGTTGAAATTATTTACCTTGCTTGCAAAAATAAGATAACATACAACATAACCTCAATTCAAAAATATTTTTTGATGAGACTTTCACACACACAAACAAACACCCTTTCACAACTCGATCACTAGAATATTCCTTACTGGCTTTCAACAATATTTCACATTGATAACACATCAATTTACTCTTGAAAACTAAAAACAATCATTCTGTTAGGTAAAAGTGCACTTATCATGTGATGGGTTTTTTTCGAAAAATTTTTTTGGTACTTACGTATTTTCGTCTCAAAAACACGAATTTCATAATGTAAATGTGAACAAACCACTATTTATCAAGATATTTCAAGAAAAAGTTCGAAATTTTGCCTTCTTTTCCCCCTTGTGTTGGATGCATTTACAGGTACTTGCTCTTATTATTTTGTCATTGGACACTTTATATACTCATGATGTACTTCACTGACACATTTTAAGATAGAAAATTCAACAGGAAATATGATTTTTATGGCGAATTTTTCCTATTTAGTGAGCAAGCATACCAGATGACGGCCATTTAATCCATATGCAATCCAAATACGAGATGTCAAATGTCAATAGATTGCTTTGGAATGACATTACACACGCCATTGTTTCAAATTATATTCTTCCTTCTTTTCACTAAACATGGATAAATCACAAAAAATCATATTTCTAGTTGACTCATATAATAAAAAAAATGTGTCCAACATTGTGTGATATATATAAATTGTCCAATGATAGAAAAAGAAGGGCAAATTGTTCTAAATGTGATCCAGAAGTCAGGCGGAAAAGATGGTGAAATTTGTAACTTTATAGTGAAATATCTTAATAAATAATTATTTGTTCACATTTTCATTATGAAATTCGTGTTTTTCAGACGAAAATACGTGAGTGCCAAAAAAATTTTTCGAAAAAACCCCATCGCATGATAAGTGCACTTTTACCTTCTGTTACATCCAGAACCCATATGTCATATTAGCGCGAATGGCTGGAGGTAGAACTTTTCAACAGTGTTGCCAGACTGGGCTCACCGAGGCTTGTTACAGGAGGCTGTGGTAATGTGAGTCTTTAGGATACTCCTATCGAAAATATTTATTTCTGGGGACTCACCTCTGCGTAGCGGTCCTTGAAGCTGATGACAGACTTGAGCCGCTTGATCGCGTACAACTGCCCGTCCTCCAAGCTGCGTGCGCGGTACACCTGCCCGAAGCTGCCCTCGCCGATCAGCGCATGCCTGGCGAACGTCTGCTCGAAGTACGACCGCTCCAGGGTGGGGTTGTAAATGGGGCTGAGTGCGACTGCGGGATAATAATGCAATGGGTTTATTCTTGAGGAATTCATTCATTGAATCCCATCCCATCCACGTACGTTTTCAAAAAAAAAATTCAAGAAAAGGATCTTATGAAGTGAGTTTTTACCCGACATATTTTATTTTATTTATTTATTCACGGGAAACCCCCATTACAAGTTTGAATACAGTATGAATATAAGAATATAATGAATATAATAAATATACACCGTGTCTCAACACATAGGTACTCACTTAACAATGTCGATGAGGAAATGAGAAAAATGAACATGAAACGAAACAATATGCTATAAGCTATCACGGAAAGACATCTTAAACTTATTAAATGAACATCCTAATACATCTAAATTACTGTTATTTATGAATCTTGATGTCCTTTCTATTGGATTATGCTGTCCATAATTTGTGACATGAAATGGTATTTGAAATAAATGAGGAAATCTAAGGACTCTATTTGGGACATTAAACGTAATTAACTCCAGGAGTACCGGACAGTTCACAGCACTATTCAATAATTTAAAAATAAAACATAAATCTAGCTTGAGTCTTCTACTACGCAATGGAATTAAGTTTATTTCGTTGATAATATGCATATATTGATGCTTTCCCCAACGAATGTTCAATTTTAAGGCACAGTACCTCAGAAATTTGTTCTGTACTCTCTTCATGACTATATTATGAACCTGATGAAGAGGAGACCAGACAATAGATGCATAAGTCAGTTTAGAAATGACCAATGACATATAGACCTTCCTTATAGAATCCACTGAGAATTCAGAGCAATTACGAATAACCATTCTTAAAATGTTTGATGATTTCACTGAAATGGTGTTTATGTGATTTACATATCTCATTTGTTCTACAAAAGTGACCCCAAGATCTAGAACAGTTGGAACGTATCTGAGAGGACTATTGTTTATACTATATACTTCTTATAACCCTCGAAAAAGCTAATGAAACAACATTTATTGATATTTAGAAGCAAATTACTTTCCATATACCAATTATTCAATCTGTTTAAATCTTCTTGTAAATTGATTTGGTAAAATTTTGAATTTATTGTCAGAAATAATTTCAAATCGTCAGCAAATAATAGAAACTCGCAGTTCACGAAACATCTACTGATATCATTCACAAAAATGTTGAACAAAATGGAAGCACAATAAGACCCTTGGGGTACTCCTGATGAAACCTGTATATGACTGGATCTGAACGAGCCAACTCGAACACACTGTTTACGGCCTGTTAGGAAGCTTTTTAACCATTTCAAAAACCAATCAGAAAATCCAAAAGCTCCTAGTTTAGACAAAAGAATGGAATGATCTACTCTGTCAAATGCCTTAGAAAAATCAGTATAAATAGCGTCAACATGATATTCATTTTCCAAAGCATCAAGTATTTTGGTCTCATAAACTAGCAAGTTTGTGACAGTGGACTTGTTCCTTGAAAATCCATGCTGGTTACTGATTAACAGCTCTTTACAACAATAATTGAGTTGATCGGCAATTGAAGAATCGAAAAGTTTTTGAATCATAGATTGCTTACAAACGCCCCGATAATTTTTAATATTTTCTCTGTCTCCGGATTTGAAAATTGGAATAATGTAACTATTTTTCCAAGCATTAGGAAATATGCCCGTATCAAGTGAGAGCTTGAATAATACAAGTAACGCAGTAGTTAAGGAGCATACACAGTATTTCCAAAACTTATTAGGAATTCCATCTGGACCACTACTATACTATACAGATTATCAAGTTCCATGAGAGGAATACATTATTTTCCTAATCGGTAAAGCTCTTTGCTCTGATTTGAAATATATATACTTTATTGATATGAATTTTTTTTTATCGCTAAACGCTCCGCCTCGCAAATGCAAAATTCGCTAGTCAAACAAAGTGTCACTTTTGATCCGAATGAAACATGCTATTTTTTCTGCAACCGAAACAATCAACTCAAATAAATATGTGAAGTAACTACCAATGCCGTGCCATATGTATGCAATGCAACAAATAATCCGTGTGGTGAGAATATTCAACCAGCATTAACAGCAGGTTTATTCAATTTTCAAGAATGTTCGAATTGTAGTTTCTTATGGCAAATACCGCGCCAGTGCCAGGTATAGAAATAAGACGTGGAAAATGTTAGGTTAGTGAGCATATCAACAATAATAATAGCGATTATTTATTTCTCTCCATACTTCACTGTGTTTGACTTGATAATCAAATGGGGGTAAACAATATCGTTATTTGAGACAAAAAACTATTGCTGGCCGTGATTATTCAAAAACAAGTTATCCATCTCGAGAATAACGAATGAAATACAGATCAAGCAAGTATGTGTTTCTTGATGGCTTCCCTGATGAAAACAAAAATACTTAACTATAATAAAGTGTATTTATATCTCCAGCATGGGTATGAAGTGCCAAATCTGCCGAAATCGGAAACAAATCAGGTATGCGTCTCAACCCAAATAACCAACCGTAACAATGTTGTTTATTCTTGATGACTTCTAGTACATCCTTTTCAGTTCCTAGGATCTGAGTTCAACTCTAGCTCCTAGGAACTAAATGTGTTGCCTAGCAACATACCTATTTTTGTGTCAGTAACAGTTGCTTCGTCAGGTGATATACTGGTACAATGAAATAAACTAACCTTGGCTAACTGAGTTACTGTGTTAACGAAACATATCGTGTGTTTGAGAATTTTGTGTAAATGTTATCGTTTGTGAAGTTTTTACATTTGCCATGGATTTCCATCAAGTAACGGACGAGTCAATAAAAAAAACAAAAAAAGATACTGGCAAAATAAAAATAGGTATAAAAGTATATAATAGTATCCATTGGTAAGCACAAATTTTTTTAAAAAATATGTACTGTAGATACGCTCATAGCTCAGAGCGAACCTGTATTTTTTTAATGGGTACAATATATATATAATATAATTCAATCATTATAGTTCTGTCAAACTGAAATATGGACAATATTGTCACCATGGAAGCACTTCTTTTCAATTCTAATTAAAATCGAGTAGCCGTGACCATGACAGCATCAGAACAATGAATTCGGATTAATTATAACAGAGGTGGCTATGTCTTTATTGATCAATGGTTCATAAAATGACGAAAACTACATTGGTAGTAAAAACACACTTTACGCCTTAAAGAGGAGTATGTAATGGTAGGTTCTATAGGTAGTGGTGGAAAAAATAGTCATTGAAAATAAATAGTAGTTTAAAAAACTGAAGAAACACGCTTTTATTATTAGCACCTTTGTATATCAGTATATTTTTTATGTTGTGCATTTATCAACACACTTTTATTATATTATCTTCTACTCATGTTTACTTTGGCATTCTATAAGAGCATGTATCTTCAGTTTTTTGAACTATTTTTTTTTTACTTCTTTACATTTTGACTATCTATAAGAGCGTTTATTTTTTTCATATTTTTTAGTTTTTTCATATTCTTTGTAAGTACCCATTTTTTTTGGGGTCAAGGGGTCGGCTACATGGCCACCGACCCCAGGGGAATAGCAGAGGAGGTCGGGCAAACCTCTCGAGGAAGCTATTCCCAAGACCGTCTGTGCGCGATGTAGAATCGTATCCTGCCCGAGTTGACCCTGCATAAACTGAACACAGCGGATCTAGACAAGGTAAGTCGAAACATTCCCCCAAGTCAAGGTGTGAGAATTCCGTACCGAGGACTGGATGGTAGCAGGGAGTGCTATCAAGAACGGTGCCTCTGTGACACAAGGTCGAATCCCAGAGTATAAAGACCTTACTACGGCATGCGAGGCTCTGTTGTAGCGGACCAAAACTTCCCTAGCTACTCGTGGGATCTGAATGGATTCAAAAAACAAAAATATAACACCTGTCAAAAGGGCGGAGGTAACCACACCCAACCCAAGACAGAAGGCAGACACGCCTGGTGCTGAGGCCACAAAAGGGCAAGCACCAAAAGCCAAAAACAAGGTAGTATCTTCCCTAGAGGAACTAGAGCTACTATCGAACGATGAGGTTAAAATAGCACACCTCGGAGGAGCTTCGAGGTTGAGGCTGGTATTCAAGGAGAACATTTTCAAAAGCAAGGAACCCACAAAGCCCTTGAGGTTGGGACCTGTAGCAACAACGTCGAGGGAGGCCGGTAAAGGCACGAAAGCGACGAAACGACCACGGTCAATCAGTGCGACACCGCCACAGACCAGCCAGCTGAGGAAGAAACCAAGGCACGAAGGAGTATCCTTCAAAGATGTCCTTACATCAGTCAAGGTTGCTGTGGTACACACGGGCTTCCCGGAGGTGAAAATGAGTACTGAAAGGCTCACAGAAGTCCAGGACTCAATCTCCGAGGCTCTGGATCAAATCCCCGTAGAGGGACCCCAAGTGCGATTCACAAAATGCACTCATGAACCGGAAGACTTGGTTATGATGTGCGTGGATCGCATTAGTGCAGACTGGATGAAGGAGGTCATCCCAACCATAAAACCCTGGGAGGGAGCTACCCTGACAGTGTTTGAGGGGAATGACTTACCTGAAACCTACGGCTGCACTACCTTCATCCCTGATGAAAGAGTGCAAAAGCCGGGGGCGGAAAAAATTCTGCACCAGCTCAAAGTCGCAAATCATGGGCTGAACACGCACCTTTGGACGCTTTGGGGCGAAACTCTTGCGGTCAAAAGTCAAACTTGGGTCTTCTCTATGGACAAACAGTCACTGGAAGAACTAGTGAAACTTGACATGTCTCCCTACTTCAATCTAGGGAGAATTAAATTCAGACAGAAAGGGAAACATGTCAAGGAACAAGAAGAACACACCGAGCCAATTCCGGAGGCCTAAGAGGCACAAGAAGAGGACGAGGCAGAGCCCTTCCAATGTGGGAGTAGCCCTCTCAAGAGGCAAATAGCACATGAGAGCGCAACACCCATGGAGGAGGGAGATGCCTCGAAGAAGGCGGAAGAAGGGTTCAGTTCACAGAACTGAACCGTAGGATCAG